TCCTTGCTAGGTTGTCGGAAAGTATAGAAACTGGAGTATAATTATTATGAAAATATTAGAGTATGGTCGCTTTAGGACGACTTAAGTGATTATGTAAATTGTAAATATGAATTTTCTCTTTAGGAGTTCATGTCAAATTGGATCGATAATTACCAGTCAATCATCTTTGGCGGGGCCACCATTACCAAGGCAACTAATTTTGTGCTACGCATGCAGTGTGTAATTATTGCTTTGTTGAGGCCACACATCTTCACTGGAATTCAAATTAAGTAACTGTGCTTTTGTAAAATAGTTCGATGTTTGAAACAATTAATTTAACTTAATTTGCATTGATTACGAATAAAACGACTGCAACTGATATCAAATTTTGATGAAACACCCATATTTGCTAGAAATTTGGTTTAATGGTGACAAAATTAATATTTGTTTATTCAAATTTAATTTGTAAAAAATCTGCTTGCTGTGGAGGAAAAGTTGATGCTTTGGTTCCGGTTTTCTTAAACTTTCTACAGTCGCTAAATAAAGTTTGACGCGTAATTAATAAATATCAGCATAAAATGTATCGACGTATTGAAAGGTTGCAGGAGAAAGAACTGCAAACTGACAGATCAACTGGGATAAAATGACAATGTAAACACCACGAACACTCACCTATTTATTTGATTGTTTAGGAAGGATTACCACTTAGCATTGGCTTGAAATTACTTTACGATAAATATGCTATCCGAACATCCTTATATAGATGTATTTCTTCAGAAGTAATAAATGTGGTGTTTGTGGCGGTGCAGTTTGTTTGTAATTTGTTAGTTCTGTCGGAAATGATGCTGCAAAATTCGACCATTACCATTCATGAATGGTTCTACATTAAGTAAGGAAAGAGAACACAAGGATGGCAATGACGAAGGAAGGAGTAGAATGATTGACTTCGTATTTTATTTTACTACAACAATTAAAGAATTAACCCCGCATTGTATCGGAAACACAAATTCCTTGGAACAAAATTGCCATCGAGAATATGCCATTTTTTTTTTAACTGACAAGTAAGTTGGAAATCGTTTTCAGCTTTTTCGATTTTATGCAACTTAAAACCATCCCAAGAGAAAACCTTCAACAGTTTTTAAACTAACGCTTTTGAAACCGACTCCTGAGATTAAACTGATTTCATGGGAAAAAAATGAGGCAACTGAAGCAAATAAAATCACCCACGTCTGTGTTGTGCATGAAGAGAATGACAAAAACTTGGTTTCTTTTGTAAGCCAAAAGTACAATTAAAAGTTTCGAAGAAAGCGATCGAGAGGTGTTAACAGACCTGTACATGCAGGTGACTCAGAAGAAAACTCGTTTCAAGCAAGAAGGTCTCAGAAAAATAGTCAACTGAAAAGAAGTTCGATGATATAAAAAAGATGCATCTTACCTTCACAACCACGATAATTACATGAAAGACCGACGAAAAACACTGAAAATAAGGGAAAGGCTTTCATGGCAGCTTCAGCAGCATCGACTCGAAATGAATTTCCTCACATCAGCTTTTGGCATCAAAATTTACCTAACTAAGTAAACATTTTAAGGAAATGATATTGAACTTAACGTTGTATAGCAATTAAGTGTTTCGATGTGACTTTACTTTAACTGGTTTCGTTGTCACGTAGCAGAACTGACATCATCTGCAATGTGATTTTAGCATTGCGGTGATCATTGTATCATATCCATTTTCCACGAAAGACTTGATAACTGAAACTTGCTTGGTGAATTTTTTTTGGCCAAATGAGAATATAACTGAATAAAACATAATATCGCCGAATGTCGTTACAAAATTTTTTGCTATGGGATTATTTTTAATTTGAGTGAGCACCATTATTGTTTCAGAATGAGGCGTTAGTCATGAGTTTTGTCCAAAAGCAATCCTTTAGATAAAGCATCAGATTTCTTAATTTGAATATCAGTAACACGATTTGAACGCTTAAAAGAAACTTGCCGACAAAATGTGAAAAAAAACTCGTGAATACTTTATTCCCGAGGCCCAATTAAGAAGCAATTTCAAAAAACTTGCGCATCGTGTTTCATCAGAGATTGCGAGCACTTGAGAACAATAAAAGCGTTCATCTGTTTTCACGTGTTTGGAAACCCTGCTAAAACGCTCGCACTCGTATTGAAAGAGTTGCTCTGAGTGGGTTGAAAATCAAACAAGCAGAATTCTTATTTTTTATTATTATTTTTTTATTATTATTTATGTATTTTTTTTCTTTTTTTGCTATTGATCGGCGCTCTAGCTATGAAATGATAACTAGCCGATGATGCCTTTTCATTCTTACTGGCTTATTGTTGTGGTTGCTGGCTAACCAGTGATCACATTGCCTTCATGTTGTAAATAAACAAGTGATTTCTCGTGATTTTCTGTAAAGCAATCAGCAACTCGACGATTGTTTACGATTTGATTTGAAACATGAGCCGTGAGAAGAGTTTTAATTAAAATCCTTTGGCTGTTTTATTTAATTTGATTGGATTTTATGTAAACATTGGCCGCTAAGTGCATTAGTAAAGGAACTCACTGCAGCAAATATTTTATTTCGCCCACTAAAAAAATTCTGATCATAAAAATTTGAACGTTTCGAGGCATGAGATGGAGAGATTTGTTTCCAGTTGAAAGCAGGAGAAAATCATGTACACAATTATCACTGCGTTACAAGCAATTGTGAGACAAAACGTGATGTGTTAATGGTAAACAGTCGAATTTGGCTTGGTCAGTTGGGGTTAGATTTGGATCGCAGCCTCTAACTGTGGGCACATTTGCATTCGAAAATTTGATACACACAGGATATTATCACAGGCATCGTTACAAGCAATTGTGAGACAAAACGTGATGTGTTAATGGTAAACAATCGAATTTGGCTTGGTCAGTTGGGGTTAGATTTGGATCGCAGCCTCTGACTGTGGGCACATTTGCATTCGAAAATTTGATACACACAGGATATTATCACAGGCATCGACTGCCTGTGGAACGCGTTTAGTTTTCTACGGGGTTGGGTGGTTACCATCATTCTAGATCTCACCAGAGTGAGACCGCATACGCATCGAAATCCATTAGAATTCTCTTAGTCGACTTTACCTTAGTTTACAAATCAGAATTGAAAAAACAATTGATTTTGTCCTATCATGTACCACATTACAAGGGAAAAGAAGACTTTACCGGTGACTACACGTTCTTTTAGAGGACTTTTGTTTCTTTGTTTCACGTACATAATTCTTTAATCAATAAACAATAGCAGCAATATTTTTCCGTGGACTTTAACTGTGTCCGATAAACGAAGAGTTTTCCAAGAAGCAAGCTAGATAAAACCTGTGACCTTCGAGAAACAGATTTACCGGCGAGGATGAATACACGAGCATAATCCCAAAACAAACTGAAGGCTTTCGTGTTGATTATCAACTAAATATTTATGGAGCGCTCGCGTGAAAGGCAAGGTTTAGGACTATCCTCGGTCACATGACGCGTTTAAACCAATCGCGCGGTCCTGGCGAAAATAATTGATGATTTTAATGATGATTGATTGGATGTAGTATTCCATAAATGAATTCTAATTTTGTTACATTTGCACAAGCAAACTCTCGCCTTCTTAGGAGCAAATCAGTCGCCCAAAATCGGCTTGAAAGCCAGTATCCCATGGGTAAGCAAAGCACAAGCACTATGAGGAAGGCCCATGGTAAATGAGATTTTATCGAA